GGAAGGAAAGACAGAAGAATGCCATGAAGGAAGGATGGACGCAGGGAAGGAAAGAAGGAAGGAAGGAATGAAAAATGAAATGAAGGATGGAAGGACGCAAGGAAGGAAGGAATTAGGGAAGTAAAGACAGAAGAATGCCATGAAGGAAGGGAGGAAGGATGGAAGGAAAGAAAGACAGGAGAATGCCATGAAGGAAGTAAGAAAAATCATAGGAAGGATTTAAGGAAAGAAGGAAGAATGATAGGATGCAAGGAAGGAATTAGGGAAGGAAAGACAGAAGAATGCCATGAAGGAAGAAAGGATGGAAGAAGGAAGGATGGTAGGTCGCAAGGAAGGAAGGAATTAGGGAAGGAAAGACAGAAGAATGCCATGAAGGAAGGAAGGATGGAAGCAGAGAAGGAAAGAAGGAAGGAAGAAAGAAAGAATAGAAGGGAAAAAAGAAGGAATGAAGAATGAAAGGAAGGATGGTAGGATGCAAGGAAGGAATTAGGGAAGGAAAGACAGAAGACTGCCATGAAGGAAGGAAGGAAGAATCATAGGAAGGCTTTAAGGAAAGAAGGAAGAATGATAGGACGCAAGGAAGGAAAGAAAGAAGAATGCCATGAAGGAAGGATGGAAGCAGGCAAGGAAAGAAGGAAGAATGATAGGATGCAAGGAAGGAAGGAAGGAGGGAAGAAGAGAAGGAAGGAAGAAAGAAAGAATAGAAGGGAAAAAAGAAGGAATGAAGAATGAAAGGAAGGATGATAGGACGCAAGGAAGGAAAGACAGAAGAATGCCATGAAGGAAGGATGGAAGGAAGGAAGGAAGAAAGAATAGAAGGGAAGAAAGGAAGGAATGAAGAATGAAAGGAAGGATGATAGGCCGCAAGGAAAGAAGGAAGGAAAGACAGAAGAATGCCATGAAGGAAGAAAGGAAGAATCATAGGAAGGCTTTAAGGAAAGAAGGAAGAATGATAGGATGCAAGGAAGGAAAGAAAGAAGAATGCCATGAAGGAAGGAAGGAAGGATGGAAGCAGAGAAGGAAGGAAGAAAGAAAGAATAGAAGGGAAAAAAGAAGGAATGAAGAATGAAAGGAAGGATGGTAGGATGCAAGGAATGAAGGAATTAGGGAAGGAAAGACAGAAGAATGCCATGAAGGAAGAAAGGAAGAATCATAGGAAGGCCTTAAGGAAAGAAGGAATAATGATAGGATGCAAGGAAGGAAAGAAAGAAGAATGCCATGAAGGAAGGAAGGAAGGATGGAAGCAGAGAAGGAAGGAAGAAAGAAAGAATAGAAGGGAAAAAAGAAGGAATGAAGAATGAAAGGAAGGATGGTAGGATGCAAGGAAGGAAGGAATTAGGGAAGGAAAGACAGAAGAATGCCATGAAGGAAGGAAGGATGGGAGCAGAGAAGGAAGGAAGGAAGAATGAAAGAATAGAAGGGGAAAAGGAAGGAATGAAGAATGAAAGGAAGGATGATAGGCCGCAAGGAAAGAAGGAAGGAAAGACAGAAGAATGCCATGAAGGAAGGAAGGATGGAAGAAAAGCAATGGAACGGGAGTAAGTATGTAAGGAAGAATCGTAGTAAGGATGTAGGAGGCAAGGAAGGAAGGAATAAGGGAAGCAAGAATGAATAATAGGGAGGAATCAAGGGAGAATGATAGGGAAGAAGGAAGGAAGGGATTAAGGAAGGAAAGACAGAAGAACGCCGTGAAGGAAGGGAGGAAGGATGGAAGGAAGGAATTAGGGAAGGAAAGACAAAAGAACGCCATGAAGGAAGGAAGGATGGAAGAAAAGGAATGGAACGGGAGTAAGTATGTAAGGAAGAATCGTAGGAAGGATGTAGGAGGCAAGGAAGGAAGGAATAAGGGAAGTAAGAATGAATAATAGGGAGGAATCAAGGGAGAATGATAGGGAAGAAGGAAGGAAGGAATTAAGGAAGGAAAGACAGAAGAACGCCGTGAAGGAAGGATGGAAGCAGGTAAAGGAAAAAAAGGAAGAAAGAAAGAATAGA